GTCCCTAAATTCAGTAATATTTGTTTTAAACTGAAACTATGTACCCACACTAACTTTATACTAGTGTCTGTTTCAACTTTGAGAAGACACAGTGACAAAAACCTAATCAAGAAATTTAATTTGAAATTAGACCATTTTCTGGATAAGTTGGACAATTATACAGAAGGTAGAATGTTATATGTAAATATCAATATCATACGAAAAATTAGTGTAGCAATAAGTAATAGCAAAAATGTCTGTAAAAATATAAAATTTATTAACACTAAAATCTAAAAATACAAACTAACATGTCTACTAACTTGGGCTCTATAGATTTGACAGGTTTAAATAATTTTACTGTTCTTTCTATTAATAATAGTAACTTGGGCTCTATAGATTTGACAGATTCAAATAATTTAACTCTTCTTCCTTTTGATAATAGTAACTTGGGTTCCATAGATTTGACAGGTTTAAATAATTTAACTGTTCCTCCTGTTGATAACGTATTCATCACACCCACTCTTAATAAGGATTTTCCCACAAAATCTCAAACTCAAGATCCAAATTAAAAAGTACAATCAGAAATTCTGTGAAAAAGAAGAGACAATAAATATACTTGAACCGCTATGCAGACTCCGTGATCTACTCAGGCATGTCAAGAGGAAGTTTCCTGAAACTACCGTATGGGAATATATCTTTATTTATTTATACGGAAACTCCATTTTTACAATTTTAGTAGAATAACAAAATTTATCAAAATTTCATAAGTGATACTAACACAACAATATCACATTTATACCAAAACAACCTAATTTAATTTAGTTACATAATTTTGGAAATATGTTTTTTAAACTGATGAGATCTGAACTTAAAAGGATCGATATTATGTTCATTGTATAATCTACACATACGGGTGAGAGGGTTGTGCATGGCGTAGTTTGTGTTATTGGTGGGAATGTAAAAAAGATCATTATTTCTAGTTCGACGCGTGGTCGAAAAGTTAATTAAATTTAGCAAACAATCACAGTTAATACTTCCCATCAATAATTTGTATAAAAAGCATATGGAAGACTGCGCTCTCCTGGACTCCAATGTAGAAATCGCAAGGCGATTTAGTACAGGCTCATAATATAATATGGATTTTGTGCATCGGTATGGACATTAATATTAAAACGCCAGGCAACAACATGCAAGAATTTATTTTGAACTCCCTCCAGAGCAGATACATGCACCTGATGATAGGGTGACCATACCACAGATGCATACTCCAATAGAGATCTGACAAGGGAGCAATACAGCAATTTAAAGGCGTTTATAGACAGGTCAACGCTGTTTCGTGTTACAAGGCCAAGCATTCGTGCAGCGCTGTTAACTACCATGCCAAAGTGTTCTCGAAAGTTAAGATTGGAGTCTAGAATCACGCCGAGATCCTTATTTGAACCCTTAACAGTTAGCGCTCGGTCATTTAAGACATATATATTTGTTATGGGCACTGTTCTTCGTGTAAAAGTTATAAAGAAACACTTATCAATGTTCAACTGTAAACCATTGTCTCGGCACCAAGCACTAAGTCCATCTAGATCACTTTGTATTAACATGCAGTCGGATCACATCACACTGGGACCTTTAAGACATAAATAAACTTGTGCAAAATTTAATTCATTGATTTTTTTTTTGTTTAAGATATGTTACATATTGTATATTATTATTATTATTATTATTATTATTATTATTATTATTATAACGAATCACAATGTTATTATCAGGCTGAAGGACTTCGGTCGATGGCCAGTTGGTTATGCCAATAAAGTACGTTTATTATTATTATTATTATTATTATTATTAAAACAAAATGTATGCTGATAAGTAGTAACTATAACTATACACAGTTTGTTGATAAACAATATAAAATAACAATTGGAGGAAATTCTATACAGTTAGTAGAAAAATTCCAATACTTAGGGATAATGATTGATAAGCAGATGAGATTCATAGATCATGCCAACACTGTTATCAAAACTATTGCATTTAAGTTAAATTTCCTATTTAGAAGTTCACTTGGCTCACTTTAATTATTGCTCTACAATACTCTTTTTACTAAATTAAAATGAGTTGAACCGACTACAGAAGCTGCAGAATAGGGTTATGTGAATAATATTATCCTGTTTAAAATATACTTCCATTAATCTAATACTTGAAGCTTTGAGGTGGATGCCAATCAAAAGTCTCTTATTACGAAATGCGTTAATTTTTATTTACAAAATCAAACACGGGTTACTTCCAATGTACCTAAAGGAGAAGTTTAATTATCACTCTAATGTGCACAATTATCCAATGTAGAACATAAATAACTTTTATATTGAAACAGTTGTTAAGAGTGCAACACAAAATTCACTATTTTTTAAAGGTCTAAATCAATATAACGCACTTCCAGAGAAAATTAAATCAGTAACGTTTGTAATTACATTTAAAGTCAAAGTGACAGATTTCTTAATTGAAGAATATTTCTCCAGAAACAGTAACAACCTATAGAATTTTAGTTAGTTTTAATTGTATCTAAATTATCTATGTTTTGACTAGGGCTGCCATACCTCCCGATTTCTCACACTCCCTCCCGCTTTTTAAACTAAGCTATGAACCTCCCGATTTTTCAGAAATTTCCTAATTTACTCCGAATTTACATTGAATAGATATTAAAAAATTATCGGTCATTCGGCCCATATCTACAACCGTCGTAATCTGTCTAGATTACGACGGTGCTTGTCTAAGCGCCATCTTTTATATGTCTGGGGCCGATTAATTTAAAAACAAACTATAAATTGGACGATTTCATATAAATTGCTGATGAGTTTGCTATTGGTGTAGATATTGATCTACTTTTAGAAGAAGTTGTCATCATATTTAGAAAACCCACCACTAAATTTTAAAGACATTAAAATTGACCAGCAATGGGTTTATTATTTTAAGAGCCATAGATCTCTAAATTTTTTCAAAATTTGCTCTTATGTATTTCTTTTCCTCATGATGAGTGAGAGCATTTTTAGTCTAATGTTTGTAGCATGGAGGAAAGAAAGAAATTCTCTTTCTATATTCTATAATTGATGTAATTTTGTTTGAAAAATTTTTTTATCAGAAATTTTTTATAAAATTGTCGCGGGGCCCGACCTGGAGAATTATCCTGGGGCCTGACCTGGCTCTCGGAGGCCCTGGTTTAGCTACTACGAGAGCTATTATCTCAAAAGTACAAAGACTAGCCTGTGTTTGCATTACTGGTGGAATAAGAACCTGTCCTACGGGCGCAATGGAGGTGATCTTAAACCTCACCCCTCTACATTTGATGATAGAGAATGTGGCAAAAAGGACAAGATATAAAATTATCAGGAACGGAGTAATCAGACGAATATCTACTTGCTTCAGGACTAAAGATACCTGAGACATGCCCCAGGATGAAATGCTAAAGAAGTACAATTTTGTGAAAAACTACAAAACCACAGAGCTGGACTGCAAGAAAGAATGGAGTCAAGAATCCATCGCGCTGCAACCGAAAGACGTGTTATTCAGTGATATACGGACGGTTCCAAAACCATAGATGGATCTGGAATAGGAGTATATGGGCCGAGAACCAAGCACCCCGAAAGTTAGGGGAAATACCCAAGCATCTTCCAGAGAAACTATCACAGACAAGAGATTATCATCATGTCCGATAGTCAAGCAGCAATCAAAACGCTGAGATCTTACGTAATCAGCTCAAAAATGGTCTGGAGATGCCTAGAACAATTGAATGAGCTAGGCGAGAAAAATAGTGTTACTCTCACTTGGGTCTCGGGACATAACGGGGTACAGGGTAACGAGATTTTAGATAGTCTTGCAAGGAAAGGGGCTCAAACACCCTTTGTAGGACCTGAGCTGGTCTGCGGTATCAGCAGTAACATAATATTAGGAGAGATTAAAAAAGAATTGGGCAGTAGAAGAACCGATAATTGGAACAATCGCTTGGGGCTGAGATAGGACAAGATACTTCTGGGCGAATATAATCAGAAAAGATCGGAAGCTTGCATCTGGCTGAGCAAGAACAGGCTACGTATTGTAACAGGGATCCTAACCGGGCATTGCCGACTAATAGGATACCTAAGTAAACTGAGAGTAATAGAGGATAGTGAGTGCAGATTCTGTGAGGAGGAGGACGAAACCTTCATTTACATCCAACTGAATGTGTAGCACTCCAGAATCGAAGGGCACTATATCTAGGAGGATATCAAATAGAAGAGGGAGATTTACCTAACTTAAAGCTTTTCAAATCCTACACTTCCTTGAGACAATAGAATTGGAAGGGTCGTTATAGGCATTGAGATATTTCTTAGTACATTGGCGACAGAAGGGGACACAATAGATATTTTAGGTCGCAGAGTATTAACACCCCATTCCCAACATAACATTATACAAATGTACAATTGTTACATGAAGATGGTTAAAAATTATACCAAAATTAAGAATAGGTACTTGTTTGTTGACTTGTTGAAAATGTTTTATTAATCGGGCATTGAAATTTGTTTTTTTTTTGATGCTACAATAATATCTTTGTATATTTAGTAGGTAGGTATTTGTATAATTTTTCTTTTTTTAATTTAAACCTCCCGCTTTTCATTTCTGTAAATCTGGCAGCCCTAGTTTTGACTTATATGTATATTTTTACTAAATTTGTATATTATGATATTAGCAAACTAGCTAAATAAAGGAAAGGAAAAAAATATTTGGCTTCTCCAAATGTTTACGTTTACGTGTGTTTATTCAATATCAAGCAATAATTTCTCTAAATGTAGCTGATGTTTGTACTTTTTACAAAAATATATGTTTTGATGTCACAAAGAAACCTGATGTGTCAATTTTTTTTCATTCACATATTATTGTTTGGTGGCCCTAGTACATTCAAAATTTGATATAAGTTTTCATGTGACAAAAAAAGTTAAATTTTGTTAACCAGTGTTATTATAAGAGTCATTTCATTTTTATTACAATTTTAGAATGTCCATTGGAAGCACTAATAATGAAAAAAACATGAAAATCAAAGATGGGAATAGTGAAACTGAAGAAAATTCCATAAAAAGTGATCTTTTAAATATGGATTTCGATAATTGGGAAGAAGATCAAATGGATATATCCGAAGAATACAATTTAGATTTAACAGAACCTCAACACTGCAAAATTGTTAATATATCACATTTACAGTCAAAAAAGATTCTTACATTGATTTCAACAAAATATAAACATAAAGGTTTGTGCCAATTAGAAGGTTTATGGAATTACACGAATTTAGAATTGGATAATACTATTTATATAACAGCTAAAAATGTTGAAGGTACTTGGATTGTTAATAACGAACATGGACTACTTGTCATTGAACCCGATAGGTTGGTGTCCTCAACTGCTGTATCAGGGTCTTTGTGGTGTAAAAGAAGGACTATACTTAGTGAACGCTACAGAGGTTTCGACACAACAAATCAAGTAATGCTTGTAGGTTCATTAGTTCACAGTATTCTTCAATTTGCTTTAAAACATAATATTTCCGGTATTAATAATCTTACAGAAATTGTGACAAAACTTATAAAAAAACGGAATATCATAAAAACTTTATATGAATGCGGTATATCATTAAAAACTCTCGAAGAAGAAGTTTCCCAATATATTCCAAAAATTCAAGATTTTTTAAACTGTTACATGGATTCAAATACCAATATAAATGCATTAAATAAGAATAACTGGAAGGGTAAAATCGACACGATAGAAGATATAGAAGAAAATATTTGGTGCCCAGATCTAGGAATTAAAGGAAAAATTGATGTAACAATCAAAACTAATCGACAAATAATGCCTTTAGAAGTGAAAACGGGTAAAGCTAGAGTATCTTTAGAACATCGTGGTCAAATACTATTGTATCTCATGATGATGAAAAAAGTAGGTTATAATGTGACTTCCGGCCTCCTGCTATATCTAAAAGAAAACGTTTTAAAAGAAATACCTGCAACGCAAAATGAACAACGTGATTTAATTCATTTAAGAAACGAATTAGCGTATTATTTAACTAAAACACCAGAATTAAAAGAAAATTTTTTATTACCCCCAGAGTTACCTGAACCAATCGATCATCCTAGTTGTTCTAACTGTCCTTACCAGAATATTTGTACAGTACATGCTCATTTTACTAATGAAGATTTAACCTCCAAAAAATACCTTAAAAAACTTCAAGTACAAACTTTAGAATATTGCAGTAAGTCTCATATTGAATACTTCATGAAATGGAGTTGCTTATTAATTATTGAAGGTGAAATTAATTCTAATAAATCTAAAGAAACTAAAGACATTTATTTGATTCCTCCTGAAGAACGGGAAAAAAATGGGAGATGTTTAACTAATTTAATCATTTCTACAGCCTCCGAAGGGCTAGACGAAATGATAGAGCACTCATTTAAAAAAATTGATGATTCTTTTAATTTTCTCGTTAGCACTATTGTTGTTAATAATTATGTTGTTGTTAGTACTGAAAAACGATATGCTGTAGCTGCTGGTTTGGTTACAGACATTTCAAAAACTGCAATTTTAGTTTGTTTAGAACGGAACTTACATAACAAATATCCTAATCAAAAATTTACTATAGATAGTTACGATTCTTCAATGATTCAAACTTTTCAGTTCAGCAGCCTTGCTCTTTTACTCGAGAACACCCAGAAAGCAGAAAATTTAAGAAAGATAATAATTGATAAGTCGATTCCTACTTTTAAACCAACTTTACCGAAAATAATCGGCACCAAAGGTAAAACCATTCTAAAAAGATTAAATATCGTTCAACAAAGAGCTGTTTTAAAGGCAATAACAGCAAATGAGTATTTCCTTATTAAAGGTATGCCCGGTACTGGTAAAACGGCTACCATAGTGGCTTTAATACAATTACTCTACGAGTTAGGCAAGACCGTTTTAATTACCAGTCACACAAATTCAGCTGTCGATAATGTTTGTTTGAAATTACTACAATACGATGTTAAATTCATTAGGCTAGGTTCGGAATCGAGAATTCACAGGGATCTATGGGAACATTCGGAGCATTATCTGACTAAAGATTGTCATACTCCTGAAGAATTCAAAGCAGTTTATCATAGTGCTCAAATTTTAGCAGTAACTTGTATCGGATCGAGTCACACTGTTCTTACAAAACGTTCTTTAGATTTTTGTATTGTAGATGAAAGCACTCAAGTTTTGCAGAGCTCGATAGTTAGACCGTTATATGCTTGTAAAACTTTCATATTAATCGGAGATCCAGATCAACTACCTGCTGTTATTAGAAATAATAAAGCTAGAGAATTTGGTATGACTGAGAGCTTATTTGAAAGACTTTACAGACCAGAAGCCACCATAGCTCTAAATATAAACTATAGAATGAATAAAACTATAACATCTATTGCTAATTGTTTGACATATAATGATGAATTAAAGGTAGCGAATGCGGATGTAGAAAATGCTACTATTCGTTTAGATTTGAAACATTTGGAAAGCGTTTATGCGAAAGATAGTTGGATTTTCAATATTCTTGACGATTCTTTAGAAAAAGCAGTTCAATTTCTCGACACTGGACCTGTATGGAATCTTCTTCAAAATCCCTCATGGAAATTACATAAAAATTATAATAGTGGTCAAGATCAAAGTTCCAAAGTAGACAGTATTAACGTACATGAAGCGGGCATCATATTTAAAATAACTAGAGCATTATTAAAAGCAGGAATAGATCCTGCAGACATCGGGGTTATAGCTAGCTACCGTCATCAAGTTGAACAGTTGACAGCAATTTTGCAAAACCAGTTAATAGACGTGAATACTGTGGACCAATTTCAAGGGAAAGATAAAAGCATAATAATTTATTCTTGTGTTTGTTCTAAAGATACTGCAGTTTTTAAAACCCCGGGAAAACACGATATTTTAGAGGACAAAAGAAGGCTCAACGTTGCTGTTACTAGAGCTAAACATAAATTAATCATTGTCGGTGATGTGAAAACGCTTTTAGTATATTCTACTTTCAAAAAATTATTGCCCAATTTTGAGAACAATACAATAAGGCTTTTTGAGTATAAAGAATTATCATGGGAAAATATTTTAGATTTGGACTCCTATTAATTCTAACATAACTTAGTTGATAAGTAAATTTAGTAAGCTTAAACTGACATTTTTTCATTAACGATGTCATTTTAAGCTTGGCTTAGTTTTTAAAAACTGGGAATGCAAATGGCCCAAAGAGAGTCTGTAAAATATAATCCTAATCTAATTAATTTATTAAATTTACTTTTAAAGCGTCTATATTTTATTTTTAAGGAACTACAAATATTGTTTTTTTTTTACATGGTTTTTAATGTAATTTGAGATATATTTATAAGTTTTATAGTTACTCTTTTTAATTTTTATATTCAACTAAATTTCTGTTTATTTTACTTAAGTTATAATAAAAAGCCATATTAAACTAGTATATTATTTTGTTTTTACTTGAAACTGAAAAATTTATATTTTATGTGTGACGCACATTATAAATTTTTGAAGTGAAAGTTTTTTAACTTATCAGACATGAAAAATGTGAGGAGTGAATAGCAGGAGACGCGGCGGTTGAGCGTGGGAACCAAATTTTCCTTTGACAAAGCCGCCTAACTGCCACGCCCTAATTTAGTTCTTATCTAACAGCAATCTACTAATCGATTTTTATTTGTTTTTTAATTGTCTTTTCTCGGCCACCTGTCATGTCAGGTGTCGTGTCATGCTGTCATCCATTTGTCACTCGCCTTGACGTCACTAGCCAACTGTTGCTAACCTAACCTTACTCGACCTTGTTGCCAGCCTGCTATATCTGCCCCTAGATGGAGTCACTTATTAATTAATTTATTAATCCGCAACTTACTATACATCATTATACAATATCACAGCAACTCAACATACACCATTATTAATTTTATTAATTAAATAAAAAAAAGTCTGGCTACGCGGAGAATCGATCCACCGGCCGAGAGAGGTTTGGGTATCACCAGTCGGCGCTGTAGATCACTCGACCACGAAGCCATTAAATAATTATTTCCAAGATGATGTATATAATGAACATCGGCTCGCTGCTTGATAACGTTGTGGGCCTTAGCGTGTATCACGTGGTCCGATTCAAACGGCAAAAACGGTATTATGTAGAGAATGATCAACAGAGAAAAATCTTGTGATTGCCAAAAGGGACTAAGCGTGTTTCTCGAATATTACCAGTCATATTCAAACGTAGAGAACTCGAAAACGTTGATCAGAAAAATCATGCTCGTTAATGCCCTTTTGACTTTAATGGTAATTCTTTCGTTGGAAATGACAGTTCACGCTGAATGCCGTTTGTCCGGTTTGATTTGGACCACGTCATACACGCTTAGGTCCTTTTGGCATTGCCATTGCGCATGTGAAGTTTCGAATGGCAACTATCCAACGTCTCACGTAGAATAACGTTGATTATATACTTCACATGCGCAATGGCAATGCCAAAAGGACCTAAGCGTGTATGACGTGGTCCAAATCAAACGGGACAAACGGCATTCAGCGTGAACTGTCATTTCCAACGAAAGAATTACCATTAAAGTCAAAAGGGCATTAACGAGCATGATTTTTCTGATCAACGTTTTCGAGTTCTCTACGTTTGAATATGACTGGTAATATTCGAGAAACACGCTTAGTCCCTTTTGGCAATCACAAGATTTTTCTCTGTTGATCATTCTCTACATAATACCGTTTTTGCCGTTTGAATCGGACCACGTGATACACGCTAAGGCCCTCAACGTTATCAAGCAGCGAGCCGATGTTCATTATATACATCATCTTGGAAATAATTATTTAATGGCTTCGTGGTCGAGTGATCTACAGCGCCGACTGGTGATACCCAAACCTCTCTCGGCCGGTGGATCGATTCTCCGCGTAGCCAGACTTTTTTTTATTTAATTAATAAAATTAATAATGGTGTATGTTGAGTTGCTGTGATATTGTATAATGATGTATAGTAAGTTGCGGATTAATAAATTAATTAATAAGTGACTCCATCTAGGGGCAGATATAGCAGGCTGGCAACAAGGTCGAGTAAGGTTAGGTTAGCAACAGTTGGCTAGTGACGTCAAGGCGAGTGACAAATGGATGACAGCATGACACGACACCTGACATGACAGGTGGCCGGGAAAAGACAATTAAAAAGCAAATAAAAATCGATTAGTAGATTGTTGTTAGATAAGAACTGAATTAGGGCGTGGCAGTTAGGCGGCTTTTATCAAAGGAAAATTTGGTTCCCACGCTCAACCGCCGCGTCTCCTGCTGTGAATTAATTGACAAAAAAAAAAATTAATGAATGTCATTATCAAACCATGAAACATTACTTTTATACAAATTCGAAAGCGGTATCTAATAAACAACTAGGTGAGAAACAAAGGACTTTTTATCTACCTACTCAAATAAAAACCTTTACTTTTGTTATCATACAATATTATTGACAATTTTAAAAAAACACGATTATAAACTAAATTAAGAAGACATTGTTTGTTATAAATGACTAACAATAATTAAATAAATGAAAATGTTTTTTACATATTCTGATAACTGAAATCTTTATTAGATATTAATTTATAATTTGGCAAGCATTGATTTCATATTTATCAAAAAAAATTATTATTTAAAATTATAAACCTCAATAAACATTAAACTTTGGAATATCAAAACTTGTCAAATATTTAGTTATCCTTTTTTGATTCCTAATATCCTTAATCCGTGTGTTGTGTTTTGTAAGCTAAAAAAACTTAACTAACATATTGTAGCTTTATTAAAATCCGATTATATTTACACGAAAATAGAGATTTATAAAAAACATAATTTGAGAGAAATTATTTATTATTTTATGGTTTGAAGTTTAACTTTTAAAAATAGAATATATGTGTAAACAGACTTTTATCAAATTCAACAACTGCTCATTTTATAATTAGTTAAATATTTGCATTATTTGAATTTATCTCACATTAAACAAATTAGGATTTTTTACTAAATCGTATTCATGCTTTTTCTACAAGATTGTCATTTTTTTATTATTAAAACGTTGCATACATTAAAAAAAAAAACGCAGAAATGTTGGTATTTAATAATTTTTCAAATTTTATTACTGAATTTAACAAAACTGATTACAAATTTCTTTATTATTGTCTTTTTTGAAAGTTAAACCAAAATAAATCTGTAATTTTAAGTTTCTCAAAGTTATTGAACAGATCTGATACGCTGTTCTTATTCAAAAATTTCTTGTGGGCTACCAGAAAATTCTTACCTCTGTTTTGAATTAAAAATTAAGGAGAGGGGTTTAACATAGACAAAGATATAAAGGTATGCAACGCTTTTAATGAATCAAAAATTGACATGTGCTGTTTATAATAATTATTTAATTAAATATTTTGTACATTTGCTTAGGTTCATTGGTAGTTCTATATATGGCATGGCCTTCTGTCACAAATATTTCTGTATCGGGGCCTTAAAAAATCGTATATCCATTTATTATGTAGATATTAATCACGCTGTCTCGGAAAAAGATAAATGCGCCTCGTATGCAGAAATTTAAAAATAGTATCTTAATTTTTGAGTAGTAATTGAAAGGAAATTGTCATATTCCCCTCGTAGATTCAAAAACAGGTTTCGTTAAAGATACGAACACCGTATTTTTTACCAAAATACTCGAGGTTTAAAGACAAAAACTAGCCGGAAGTTTTAATTTTCTTTATAGAAAATTATTTTTTAAAAAAATTAAGAACTACTTTTAATATGTCTTTATTGATCAAAGGCAAGCTAAAGAATAATGTATATATTTACATTTAATCCACACCTATGTTTATCTCTAGGAAAATTTATAAAAGTATGATAAGATAAAAGTTATTTACAGGAAGTATTTATTGTCTATATAGCAGTTTTAGCAACACGTAACTCCTCCCTCCTTAAGTTTCGAAAAGAATGGAATGACTTTTCGAATGGGCTTCCATCGGAATTTCTTCTGTTTTTTCAATTTTCTTTTTTCTACATTTCGGAATTTTGTTCTTGAATTTTAATATAGCTGCGACGATTAGGCCGGTAATTAAAAGTCCCAAAATTGTTCCAAATATAGGTGTATCCATGTGAGTATTTGAGCTTTCTTGAATCGGTTTTAGTTTTCTGGAGATTTCGTTGATTTCATACAGACTATCAAAATCAATTTTGGTAATATTAGATCTTTGATAATGTCCGGATGTGTGTATGTGATCCGTTTGAAATTTTGGCAAAATAAATGGTTTTCCTTGAGTAAGTTGAATGTCGTTAATGTACTTCTGTTCGTTGGCCCATATTTCGCAGGTTTTCGGGATTTTGATTAAAATCGGGTTCACTACTTCTAGATATCGATTACTTTTACATTTTGATAGAATTTGTTGCGCTTTTGCTGGTATTATCAAGACTTCGTCTGTGGTAACTTGTTGAACGATCATTTCTTGAACATTAACTTCTAAGATATGGCAATTTTGAGGGATATGACCTTCCAGTAAATTGAGGGTGCAGTTGTCCCTTGGAATAAAATTTTGTTGACAGTAGTAACAATTTTCTAGTGCTGGGCATTCTTCTTTTTCGAATTGAGTTTCCTTTTGTTCTCGTGCCAAATAGGGGAAAGTGGGAGTATATATTTTGTGATTTTGAATTATTGGATACAAATGATAAAATTCAAAAGTTTCGGGTTTAAAGATAGGAATATGAACTGCAAAAATTAATTTTGAATCGGATATTGATACTTGAGTTCCTAGAAATTGGTAATAAGTTAAAATATTTTTGAATTTAGGAATTTGATTTTCATCGTATATTCCATGTAAGTGATTTATCATATCTATTATTTCTGAACTAGAAACTATGGAGCTATGCAAGGAGTTAAGTTTAGAGAATACAATAGCGTTTTCTAAATTATCGATAAATGTTTTAGTTGCTTGACAATCTAGATTA